ATATATATATATATATATATATATATATATATATACACACACACACACACAGCGGAATCGAAATACAAAACAGATAACCAATATGGGAGGGTAACATGTTGTGGGGAGTATAATAAATTCCAAATAAGAGTCGTCCAATAATAAAGGAATATAGCACAACTCAATAGTACGTAATGAAACAGAATTCAACCAGTGCACGGCATCACCCTTCGTGCTTTTACTCTCGTCCTCACCAAGCAATGACATGTGCACGGCATCACCCTTCGTGCTTTTACTCTCATTCCTCACATATATCAATAGAATCGGCACGGAATGGTACATCGTGCGGCACGGCATCACCCTTCGTGCTTTAAGACTCTTTCTCATAATAAGCAACCAATGCACGGCATCACCCTTCGTGCTTTACACTCTTTCCTTGCCATAAACAAACAGTGCACGGCATCACCCTTCGTGCTTTAACGCTCTTCCTCACCCAATCAACAATCACAGATAAGGGTAAGGGAATAAATAAACAATAATAAAAATCCGGGCAAGGGAACACAAACAACAATTAAAAACCCGGCAAGGGCACAATATCAATAACCAACAACGTCCCAGCAAGGGAATGAATATGAACTCTTTTCTTTCTTTCACTTTCATCTCATAGTTCACATTATCACTTGAGCCAATGCTCCAAAGAGTTACTTATCTCATATACCTTCACAATTTGTATTTCAACCCGAGCCAATGCTCCACGAAGTTTCAAGATCACAATTTCTTTCACAAGGTATTTACAATATATAGAAGTCATCATTTAAGCGTGGAAGGCATAAGAACAACCAAACTATCCGCAAATAAGGACTTACGGTCATGCTAGACACCAATGCATAGATACTCGTCACCATGCCTATACATCGTACTCGACAATTAGCAAGTTACAAATAAGACTCAACTCCTATTCCCTCAAGCTAGGGTTAAACCAAACACTTACCTCGATGCCTTGAACTCAACTCAAGCCTCAACTATGGCTTTACCCCGTAATTCTACCTCCAATCCGCTCGAATCTAGCCACAAATTACTTAATTGCATTAATAAACACTAAATGAATCAATTTGAATGCATAAAAATGAATTTCCCAAAGTTTTTTCCAAAAATTCCAAAATCGCCCCCGGGCCCACGTGGTCAAAACCCGAGGTTCGAACCAAAACCCGATACCATTCCCCCACGAACTCAAATATGTAATTTGTTTTAAAATCGGACGTCAAATTGAGGTCCAAATTCCCAATTTCTAGAAAACCTAGGTTCTATCCAAAACCCCCAATTTCTCCCATGAAAATCATTGATTTTAAGTTGAAAACATGTTAAATGATGTTAATGATTGAGAGAGTTAAGTAAAAATCGACTTACAAAT